GGAAAAGAGTGTGTGTTTCTCTCTCACCTACAGTGAAAGTTATGAGGTTCTTTTGCTCAAATCACCCACAAGGAAGCCTTGGAAGTTCATGTTCCTTAGGGAGCTGTCAGTTCTGCTAAGGAAGATTAAATGCCCTGATCCGGGTTGTCACATTTTACAGCGAACAACAAGCAAGAGAGCGAATGTAGCATAGCCCGCATCCGGCAGCTACCACAAGCAGCCCTGCCTAGGGGGCCTTTCGATGTCACATAGGGTCCCAGCCAAGACATTCACTAAACAGTAAGAAAGAACATCAAAGAGCCCTCGTATTGCATCTCACCATGTCTGTTTAACAGTTTAAACCCTTGCTGTGGCTGGGAAACCATTTCTGGGTGGAGGTATCTGCTTCCTGCTGGACATCCCTGCTTGCACCCTAGATGATGAGGCAAGGCTCCTTGCTTACCTGTGAAGTTGATTTTCAGCAAGTAATCCTTGTACAGCTTCTTCCCGTCCAGGATCTTCATAGCGTCGCACAGCTTGGTGGTGTTGGGGCAGAGGGTGCGTTGCATTTTGTGCAGCGCGTGGGCCATGGCGTAGACCGCGTTCACCACAAACATGATCTTGGATTCCTGCTCGTAGTTGCTGCTGTTGATGGCCAGGTGCTTGTCGCAGGGGCGCCGGTGGTTGCTCTTGTTCTGGAGGCTGCACTGGAACTTCTGCTCCCAGAAGTCCCGGAACCAGGGGTTGCGGTGGTTGTTGTAGGGGTTGAGGCTCTGGAAATAGCGATCAAACGGGCGGACCCGCTGCGAGGCCAGCTCCAGGGTGATGGCGCCGTAGGCCACGTGCTCGCTGCCCTTGACGATGCTCTCCTGCGCGCCCCAGCCGTTGAAGAGGACCACGACGCGCGCGTTGGGCTTCTGCAGCAGCTCGCGGATCACGCTGTCGTAGGACTTGCGGATGTTGGAGCGCCCCACCTTCTCGGCCGTGGCGATGCAGATGTTGCGCAGGCGGGCTTCCTGCTCGAACGCCTCGATCCCCGTCTCCCCGTAGTCGCCCTCCGAGGCCACGGTGGACACGTAGGTCCAGTTGAAGAAACGCAAGATCTCGGCCATGGCTTTGGCCTGGTAGAAGTCCGGCGGCACGGTCCTGGCGAAGTAATCGTAGCGGGACTTGTCGCTGAGTTTGGCGCTGGTGGAGGCGTAGCTGATCTGAGGGATCTGGAAGAGCCTGAGCAGGTTTGCCACCTGGAGGAGGGAGCCAGGAGAAGCAGGTGGTTTAGAAACCCAGGGACAGAAAGAACAGATAGTACCAGGCTCTTTACCCAGCGCCTGTGTCCCCTCCAGATCACTGAACCTTTCCCGAAGCTTTGCCAGAGCGGTTCTGGATACTGCATTTTGGATATGAGGGAGCAGGTTCCAAGCAGGTAGTGTATGATTTGGGAAAGGACATAGTAGAAAAATGAGAGTACCCCCCGCCCCCCCAGACTTTATGCTCGACCCTGGACTAGGATTACTCTTGTTCAGGTGTCCTCAGCGTGTTTGTTTGAAATGTGTGGGGTTCTCTTAAAACTCGGTCAAACAATGAGCTACAGTGAGCTTCAGTGACTCGGCCAAATTCAGTTTTTAGACAGTTTGGCTGCAGCCTGGATGTTGTCGAATTCTCACTTCCCCCTCTTTTGCTAAAAACGGCAGTTTCTGAAAGAGCCTAATTTGGGAACTGTATGCCACATGGACAGTTCAAATTAGACATTTATTATCTAGGTTAAGTAAAAAAAAAAAATCAATTCTATTTGGTCCACCCCAAATTTTAGGCATATACTTTTCTAAACTTCTGAAGAACTTGACCAGTATTTTCTTTTAAAACACTTCTTTCTATTTGAACAATGTGAAAGGAAAGCGTACAAATGTTATCATTATAGTATTTTGGTTATAAAGCAAATACAGAAACATTGAGGATCTTGTCAAGAACCATCTCTTTCAAAATGTTTAAAACTTATTCTGAATGAAGGATTTAAATTTCTTATCATTCACCTATCAATAATATTTCACTATTTTTATTTATTATAGAATAAAAAAGGAAAGTGAAGTTAGCTTATCAAGAAGCATTTTATGAATAAAGTATTTGCATAAATATATTTTTAAAATATCTACAGAG